GGACCTCACATGCCCTGTGCACCATCTTCTGCCCGGCCTCCTGGAATACAGCTGAACCTGGCATGATCGTGTCCCAGTATCGTATAACTAATTAAAGATACCCAACAGCAGTGGCTTGAGGCCTCCTCGGGCAAACTACACCTTTATTCTCCTTTTCAAGATTTTTAAAGATTTTGTGATGAAGGCAGATCTTCCTGTAATACCAGCTCAGTGCTTCTTGCCTTACCCACCTTAGATGTGGAAAAAAATTGCTCTTTCCTTTCTGCAGCAGCATTTATGTATTTCAAAACTGAACACAACCCCTCCTTGATGTTTACTTGCTGAATCAAACCACCCCTATTTAGCAGTCTTTCCTTGCAGAGCATGTTTTAGAGCCCTTGATCATTCATGCTTTCTGGTTTTCAGCCATTCTCCAGTTGTTTCTTCTTTTATTAGAGAGAGAGCACCCAAAACAGGACGCACGTGATACTGCCGAGTTCTTCAAAGCACTTAACTGGAATTGTAGGCTTTCTCTCCTCTCTGGCTACGTTTTGCATCTGAGTGTAATGTTCTGTTCTCTAACCTCCCTATCCCTTTCAGAGAAGTGCTACATAGGGGGGTTATGTTCTGTGTTCGTGCACTGTGTTAATCCTGTCTTTTGCCCTTACTGAATCAATCCTCACTTCTGTTTTTCCATTTTGTTGTATCATTCTGAATTGCGGAACTTCGGGGTCTCTGCTGTCTCTTTCCCACCTGCAAGCGTCGTGAGTGTACTCTCTACCTTAAGTCAGGTCGTTAATGGGAGTATTGAGTCCTACCAGGATCAGAACAGGTTGCCCACAACTCTTCCTTCATCCATCCTTCCAGTTGGATGACAGCTAGATTACAGCTCCCCCAGTTCAGCTTTTCAAACTGCTTTGCTTCTGTGCGTTTGGATTTAGATTACATCTCGCTATTTGCTTACACTGTGCAAGACAGTTTCTAAAGATTTTATGGACAAAGAAAACAGAAATGATGACTGTGTCTTTTCCTCTGTAAGACACGTTCTGTCAGTCGGCAAAGTTAGGTTGATACAATGGAGATTGTTCTTGGCAAACCTGTAAATTTACAAATAGCTTGTTGATTTTTTTCAGTAGTTTATATTCAGTTCCTGTCCAGCTGGTCCTTTCATAGTCTTCTAAGGCCACATCCAGCCATCAGAAATTCTCACAGTGCGTCTTCTCACCAGACTTTTTTTTGCCAGTTCTCTGTGTACTTTCAGGTGACGTTCATCAGGCTTGACTGACGTGAAAACAAATAAATACTTTCCAGTCCTTCACTACCTGAGAGAGAGATCTTTTCCCTTTGCCTCTCTCATTAATTGTGTTAGCCACTTGATTGCATCTAATCCTTTTAGTAAAGACTGAATGGATGAATCACCCCCCACCCGCTCCCTCTGCTGCGTAGTGGATCAGCCTTGCTTTTGGTCTTTCTCTTACACCTGCTGCGCTATATAAAGCTTTGCAACCACAGGTTTTCTCTCACTCAGTGCCTTGACTTCGTTCATTCTGTCTCTTACGCTCACACTATGTGTCTGTATGTGCTCTGCATAACGTGGCCTTACGTCTACCTCTTGTGTCCTGGCTTGCAGCTGGGTGTTATGCACTGATGTGCTTACTAGTGTTGGGTTAAGGAATGACTGTCTTTTAATTAATAAACCAGACTTCTAAGAGACTGCCTGGTAATTCTCTGAGCTTACTGAGGTCTACCTGAAATATGTCAATTTTTCTACTCTCCCGCCTTAGGAAGAGGAACCATCTGGGAATAACCAGGTATGTGGCAGCTTTCAGGCTTTCGCTTAATGTTTTCTTCCAGGAGGAAATCCCTGGGGATCAGAATCAACCCTAGAAGATTGGGTTTTCTTTTTTCCTGTCCTAACAAAATTCATGTACAGCAGAGAGTTGCTTGGACAGTCCAGGACAGCGTCCACCTCTCCTCCCTTAACTGCGTATAAAGCAGGGCTGTAACCTGAATTCCTGCCCAACTTTCTTCTAACATAGAGGGAGTTTAGATCCCCAGCTGATTCCCTGGATAGCTCTAGGTGAATCCCATCAGCCCTGCTCTCGTCCTGAGGGAGGACAGGCCAGATGAACTCTCCTGTCAGCAGCAGCTCTGTGATTCTGGTAGTTCTCAGTCTGACACCCCGCCTGCTTTCTAGTGCTCGCAGGTCACCCATCAGGATCCTCCTCCCCTTTCATCACCACCCAGGGATTCTCAGCAGTGGCCACTCTTTGCTGTCGTCTGGATCTGAAATATCGGGTGATGTATCCTCCCCTCCATCATCCTTCTGCCTGTGTTTCCTGAACAACGTACTCCTCCTGGCAAATAGCCATTTCTATGAATTGCCCCTCCGAGGTCTCTATTACATCAACTAAATTGTAGTGTCATCCACGCATTAAGTGTTCGAATGGTCACTTACTTGTGTGAGCCATTTCACACCAGCCAAATTCTGCTTCCATTTTTGATTCTGGAGATGTGTAAGTCTTCTAGCTGAGAATCGAGTGTCATATTTGATCACTCCAATAGGTAGCAGCATTATGCACGTTTGAGTCAGCTTCGCTGTGCTATAAAGGCATCACTGAAAGTGGAAGATTGGAAGTAATTTCTGTTAAAGGATGCCTTGAGGTTGAGATTGGGTTTTTGTTTGGTTTTGAAACTTAATATTCGACTGCATCAGAGCACTTCTTCCAAAGCTGCGTTACTCCCCAGCTTGCAAAGAATCACAGCTCAACACACAAATGAGATCATACCTGCTTTAATTATTGCTGACAGTATTTGCTTAACAGTAGGCTTGAGGTCAAGCTCCAAATTATTCTGCACAGATGTAGACACAGTTCTTGCAAATTAGTAGTTTAAGGTGCTAATCCTAAAAACATCTAAGTACATGAATGTGCACAGGGGAGTGAAATTAGGCAATGCGCCCAAAAGGGGAAGGGTCCATCCAGGGGCAATTATTGTATTTCACAATTACATACCTGAGTAGAAGCTGGTGTCACAGGACAGAAAAACATATGTATGCCTATATATGTATGTTTGTATATATATTTTCTTCCAAGAGAAAGAACAGCTGATACGGGTGATTATAGCCCTCTAAGAAAATATCCTGAAATACTATTTCCAGTGGTTGAAGTGTAGCTCTTCTCTGAAAAGTAAAGCGATAAAGATACCTGGTGGGCATTACGTTCAGAGTTCTCCAGTGATTCCTCCCAAGGGTCTTACTTGAAAAGAGGTGTTTCCTGACAGCCAGCACTGCAAAGATCATTTAGGGCTCAGAGATTTGAGCAGGGTATTTTCCTCCTGGCACATCATTATTGATCGCACGGTGGCTGCAGCCTGTGCTGTGCTGTCAGCGTCAGCTCCAGAGACCCCACTGGCTTTGGGGAATTCCTTTGATGCTGCTCACAGGTTGAAGTGTCTGGATCTTAGGGAGAGATCCAGCTGGGATGAACAGAGCCAACAACACAGAGAAATTGAAACGGCAGATAAATGGAGGAGGATTGCAAGCACATCTGAGCCTGATACTCACCTTGCTGGTACCATTCCACCCAGGAGAGACCTGTGGAAGGGAGGAGAGAGGGAGTGCATTTCCCAGCTAACGAGCAGATCCTGTGCCCCACAAAAGGGCAGCCACGAGTACCAGCGATGGGCTAATGCCACAGAGAGCTCTACACCAGCCTCTTGCTACCTGAGGACACTGGGATGGGATCCGTGAACATGTTTCAACCCCCTTGGAGTTGATGGGGAGACAGGCACTCGTGGGTGGGGTTCAGGTCACCTAAGATGAGGTGCCTACAAGAGATGTCTAGATCTGAAAGCATCGCTCCCCGAGTTCAAATGGAGAAGAAACAACATCAGTCAAAACACCCATTTTTCTCTCTCAATGCCCCATTCAAATGCCCCATCAACAAGGGAGATGTGAGGAGGGAGAGAAGAGGCGGCCAGGAAAAGTGGGAAAAAAGGAGGAGAAAAGCAAGTAAAGAAATAGGATGTGAGTCCTGGCTGTGCAACAGGTCATTTGTGAGGCAAATCAGCCTCTGTTGTGTGATAATGGCCTGAGGCCAGACTGGAAATGCTTATTGAGCGAGTCCTGGGAGAGGTGTGATGGAAGAGCTAGGGACAAGGACTGCCTGGAGACCTTAAATTGAAAAGACAGGTTTGATTTAGGACAATGATTCGAGAGAACACACGGATTAGAGGTGAGCTCTGGTATAAAGCTGTATTAGTGGAGCAGAGAAGCCGCCCATCAAGCGCCAGGCAGGGAGCAAGAGATTAACAACGTCTGACCCATGGAGCAAAAGATGTCAGAACGAGTGCCCGCAGCCAGGAGACGAAGGGTTCAAAGAACAGCTACTGGGGCAGGCAAGGAGCAGAAACCGGCTCAAGGCAAGGGGCTGATGTTCCC